CAAAAATTAACATAAGACCTTAAAGTGCAAAACTCTTGAGTAGAAAACACTGAGGAAAGTCTCCATGACATTGGTCTTAGCAATGATTTCTTGGATATGAAATCCAAAGCACAGGCACCAAAAGCAAAAATTGCCAAGTGGGACTACATAAACCTAAAAAGCTTCTGTACAGCAAAGGAAACAAGTGACAGAGAGAAAAGGAAACCTGAGGGATGAGAAAAAATATTTACAGAGTATATATGTGCTAAGGGTTAATGTCCAAAACATCGAAGGCCCTCCTACAATTTTACAGCAAAACAAGCAAGAATATAAATAATCTGATTACAAAATGGGCAAAGGCCTTAAAGAAATACTTCACCAAAGAAGTCATATAAACCACCGGCAGATATACCAAAAGATGCTCACTGTCTCTCATCATTAGGGGAATGCCAATCAAAAGCACAATGAGATATTACTTCACACCTGTTAGGATGGCCATGATAACAAAACAAAACAGAAAATAACTGTTGACAAGGGTGTGGGGACACTGGAACCCTTGCACACTGATGATGGTGATGTAAAATGATGCAGCTGCATCATTTGATGGAAACAATATGGAGATCCCTCAAAAAATTAAAAATAGAACTGACATATGATCTAGCAATTCTACTTCTAGGTATTTATCCAAAATAATTGAAATCAGGATATTGAAGACATATTTGTTCACTGCAGCATTGTTTATAATTGTCAGTCTAAATATCCACTAACTAATGAATGGATAAAGAAAATGTGGTATTCATGCTGAGTCTCACTACCATCACCAGTTGGCCAAGGGGGGTACCTCAGAGGTGATCGTAGTAATTTTCAGCAATAAGGTATGTAGCATTTTTTGTAGGATGAGTTCATGAACTTAATTGTCTTACCTTTATACATACAATGAAATATTATTCAGTCATAAAAAGAAGGAAATCCTCTCATATTCTAAAACATGGATAAATCTTGACACCATCATGCTATGTAGAGTAAGCTAGTCACGAAGGACAAATACTGCCTGATTCCTTTATTTATATAAGGTATCTAAAATAACCAAACTCATCAAAGCAGAGAGTAGAATGGTAGTTGCCAGGGGCTGAGGGGAGGGAGAAAAGGTGAGCTGCGGTTTCACTGGTATAAAGATTCAGTCATGCAAAATTAATAAGTTCTAGAGATGTGCTGTGGAACAATGTGCTTATAATTTATAAGAATGCACTGTACATTTAAAAATCTTTAAAAAGGGTAGATCTCATGTTATGTGTGGTAAAACACATAAATAAAATAAAATTAAGTTCACTTCACAATAGCAATCCTAGAAATGCAAATAAAATTTTTTGAACTGTCAAATTAGTAATAAGTTTAAAATGCTGGTGAGAATTCCCTGAGACAGGCTCTCACTTACTCTTACTTACTACTAGTTATAGCACAACGGTTGTGCTTACAATGTAATAATTTTACTTGTAGAAATATGTTTTCATGAAGAAATAACAAATGTAAATATGTTTTTATTTATAAGAGCAAAATTTAGGAATCTTCCAATTAGTCCATAAGAAGGGAAGGCTTGATAAATGTTGACACTTATGATGAAACAACAAAAATGTTTATGAAGTTGTAGTGAGAAGAGAAAACTGCTCTCTCTATATTATTAAGTATAAAAAGGCAGGATAATGAACTTTACAAAGGGCAATTACATATGGTATCAACACCATGTCAATAAAATTAAAAATAAAAAGGAAGGAAATAAACAAACAATGATAAATGGGATTGTTCTTGGGCAATGAGATTATGAACATTGTCAGACAAGATTTTTAAAAAATCTTTTTTCCATGTTTTCCAAAGAACTCAAATTACTCTTTCATTTAGAAGACAAATGACAAAAAGATACGGTTTAAAAGTTAAATATAATCTAAGTTTCCATGAGAAAGGTATATTGTGTACTGACTGTTGTTTGTCCAAACACATGGTTTTTGAAAGTGTCTATTTGCTCTTTACTCTTTGAACATACACAGGTATAGAATGTTAAGTGACTCAGAATTAGACTCTTCATTCTAGAAATACTGGAAGGTATTTGACTGATTTTATTTAATGTATGGGTAAAACAAATATAAACTTTTTCACTAAATCTTTTGATTCTAACATAAAAGTGGCAGACACAATGGGGGGAGAAATCAAGGGAAAACGTTACATTATTTACTTGTATAGTAAACATATGGTCTCTGTGGAATGCTATGGGGGTTCATCCTCCTCTGGAGAGTGATGGTGGAGGCATAAACGGAAGGTCATACAGGGAGGGGAAGGGTGGGTCTGCACTGCCCTGGCAACAGCGGCAGCCAAACCCACCCTGGCTTTCAGTGAGTTGGCAGATGGCATAGCCAGACTGTCCCACCAGCCTGGAGCTACTAAGTAAAACAATTACATTCAAGAGAAAATAAATCATGCTACAATCAGATTCTTAATATTAGCTAGGGATGGTGGGAGTCCAGGCAGGGAAAGGATCAGGTTGGCATCTTTAGGGCCACATGCCACTGACTCTCAGAGAAAATCAAGTTTACACTGCACCAGCCTCACCATTTGATTCTATTCAAGAAGTTCTTTTTACCTTTATTCACATCCCTCCCCCCCTTGAAATCAGAGAAAGCAAATTTGGGGACCTTGGGCACAGCCTAGAAAATAAGACATGGTTTTCATAGTCTCATGAGTTGCCAACAGTTAAAATCAGGAGATTTGGCATAATCAGGATCTGAGGCTTTAAAAAATTAAGTCTAACAAGAACGAGCTGTCATTGTCACATGGCAACAATCAGCTAGAGAGGAGTAGCAGATACCCCTTTACGTGGCACAGGGCCACCAATGTGCCTCAGTCCCCACACAGCCCATTTGCTCATGTGGATATCCAGTCCAGGCCCTGTATTATTCCTGACTCTGATCAATGGAATTGCTCTTACCAGAAGCTTTTAGCGCTCAGAGTGAAGCACAGAACTGATCTACTAGCCTTGAGCTACCTAGCATAAAAAGCCTCCACTGACATAAAAACTCATTCAAAGCAAGTCTTGTAAGCAACTCTAATATAAAGACAGACCCGTCTAAGCACTATGAACACACTCAAAGCTGTGCTGGGGGAGTACAGAGAGATCCGCCCCATTGGAGGTCGGGGTGCCATGGGCTATAGCTGGAATGGAGGGGTGTGGAAGATTGGGATATCCCACGGGAAACTCTCAACTTAGTGTTTGGAACTTAGTAGGAGGTTAATAAATATTTGTTTCCATCTTCCTAAGAGCAGATGCAGAGCACAGCAAGGAGCAAATGGAGCCAGAACAGTGTAATGCAATGCACAAAAGCACAGCATGTGAGAGAGGAGGAAAGAGGTAATTGTAGCCTAGAGAGCAGAAAGTGAGAGAATAGGTTTAGAGAAGCAGGGTGAGCCAGGAACTGTACCAAGGGAGGACTGCGCCACTGCAGCACGATACTGGTGGCTCTCTCAGAGTCACACATCTGTGTGTTACGGGCATCTAGCAGATGAAGAGAACAACACTCACACTTGTGAAGAGAATGAATTCAACCCTTTAGTGATGGATTGTTGGTTAAAACTATTACCAGATTTTGTTATATGAAAAATACAAAAAAATTCAATGTATGCGGAATAGCTGTATTAGTTGGAATACAGAATTTCTACAATGCGCTGAAATAAATGAACCGTCGATAAAATTTATTTTTGCTTGCCAATGGTGTGGCTTTATAGTTAATTGAGAATAATTTATTTCTAAAGCCTTAATTTAAAAAAAAGAATCAGTTACTTTGAAGTAAAATTCTGGGAAGCATTATGTCAGTAGGACAATAACTAGTCAGAGAATGCTGCACAGAGGGTGCTGGACAGCGGGAGGGAAGGCTGCAGACGCGATTATTTATTTTCCAGCCCTTTGGGTCATAGCCCACCAGTCGCTATTTATATATAGGTGCCTTTTGCAGTATTTACTTTTTTAAATATCTCACAGTTTTGACAGGCAGTGACCGGCAATAATAATTTAGAGTTTGTAGCATGTTATGAGCGCTTAATAAGTGTTAAAACAATAAAATGCTGTACGATGAAAACCAGTAGTCAGTAAAACTATTATGGTCTACGATATTTTAAAACCATGGTAGTAACTATTTCAAAATACATAAAAAGCAAAGACAGTGAACTAAAAATAAAGAAACACTTCTATTCACTAAAAAAAAATCCGCCCAGGTAATTTCCTCATAAATTCCTTGGGGGTTGAAAGAAGGCACTGGGAAAGCGGATACCATATGGATTGAAAAACAACTTTAAAAAACGTTTCTCAAAAGCCACGTGGAGCTCTACCGGTGACAAATCCCAGTAGCAGTATCGCGTCGGGGCGGAGTGCTCCAAGCGCCAGCACTCCCTCCGCCCCTGCACCAACTCGCTACATCTTCCAGCTTTGAAGGAATTGGCTGTGGTCGAGGAAGCATCAGTTGCATGTCGACACCTCTAGACTCGTCCCAGGACCCACTGACAGCTCTCACTCCCAGCGAGGAAATTACTTCCATTTAACCAAACCCGGGAAAGGTAGCCACACTTGGTGACCTTGGCCGCAGGCTTCCGGAATTTCCTGCGCAGTCTTCAACCGCCAGAGAACTCGCTGGCTAGGGCTGAAGACACCGCGCTCTAAGTTTGGGGAAGGAAGCCAGAAAAAAAAATAGAACTGCTCCTTTAAGAACTTCCTCTCCCTTTTACTCTATGTTTACATAACACCAGGCGGATCAGCCGCCCCGCCCCAAGGCTCCCCTAGAGTGGCGGCCAACAGCTCGGCTAACTAGAGAGGGGGCGCCGCGCTGGAGGGGGTTGGCGGGGCGGCTCCCACCTGCCTGTGCGCCGCGGGGCGCCCCCCCGTGCCCGCCCCTCCCTCCTCGCTGCCTCCCTCCCTCCCTCGCTTGTTCCCTCCCTCCTCACTCCCGTGGGGCTCCGGCGGCGGCGGCGGCTGCAAAGGCAGTGTGGCGACGGCGCTTGGCGCGAGCGGGTCCTACTGCCGGGTCCTATTTGTTGCTGGGTCTGGCTGGGGGCGGCCGCGGCGCGCGGAGCTCCGGGAGCCAGGCGGGGCAGCCGCGCAGCCACCACGGAGCAGCCGCGGGACTGGCCGCCCCGCGCCCCCTTCGCCGCCGTACCCTTCCCCGGCGCGCTTACCCCCTTCTCGGGATGGGATTGTAGCGGCGGCGCGGATTCGGCGGGGATCGCGGCGGAGGTGGCTGCGGCGGCCGAGCGGGGCTCCATGTTTTCCTCCGGCCAGGAGGAGCCCTGCGCTCTCAATAAGGAGCCGGTGAAATACGGAGAGCTGGTGGTTCTGGGGTGAGTGCCGGGGTCCCGGGCCCGGGGTGCGGGTAGGTGGCGGGCGGCCGCATCCCTTAGCCGGGCCGTTGGGGCGGCCCAGGCGCGCTCGGGGGACCAATGGCTCGTGGGGCGGCGGGAGGGCCGGGACACGGCCGGGGTTGTTGTCCCCATTAGCGCGCGCGCGGGGCGCTGCGGCGGGCGCCGGGCTGCGCTGTCTGTGTGGAGGACTCGGGAGGAAGTGGCGGCGCGGATCTGGGTGACCCTAGGGCGCAGCGCTCCGGCACCCGGTACGCGCCGCACCGGCGCGGGGTGAGGGGGGAGGGCAGGGGCTCGACTTCCCGCGCCGCGTCCGGCGGGCGCCCCTCCTCGGGAGGGCGGGCAGGGACCTGGGCGAGGCGCTGCCGAGACGGTTGCCTCGCGAGGTGGCTTCTCGTAGCCGAAAGACCGGTCGACCCCAGGCGCCCCCTGACCTCAAACCTCGAGCCCGGGGCCCGGAACTCCACGCGCGGCGCTGTGGGCTCGCGCCGCGGCGGGCCACGGGACCGATGGGCTGCGCTGACCGCCGCGCGGCCGCAGCCGGAAGGCAGTGAACTGTCTGTGACCCGGGCTGGCTGGCCGGCCCTCAGCTTCCCCCGCCTGGGGTGTCCTGGAGGGGAGGGCGGGCGTGCTGCACTGGGCCTGACACCCGGCGCGGGCCGCATCCCTGGGGCCCCCGGTGCCCGGCTGCGCAGATGCCCTCCCAGCCCTGGGGAGCTCGCCAGCCTCGCCCGCCTCGGCTCCCTCTCTGCTGGTGAAAACCACATTTGAAGATAGTAATTATCCGCAATCGTTAAACGGCAGCAATTAGAGACTTCATCTACTTCCTGAGTTTTCCTGTGACATTTCTATTGTTTACCCTTAATAAGCGGGGGGAGAGGCTTCCCGGGATTAGAGGGTGAAGTGGGCAGTGCGGGGGAGGGGGAAAGTGCTGGGAACTGGGGGAGGGAGCAGCTCGGGTTTAGTGTTGAAGGAGGATTTTTTCTGTCACTCCTGGGAACCCGCGCTTTTGTCCTCCCCTGTTGAAAGACTTAGAACCTAGCTGGTGTTGATGGGTGGGCTTAGCACTTGAGGAGGGATACGGAAGGACTCCGGGAGCTTGGCAGAACGTGTTTTGATAGAACCGAGTATCTTTAAGTAAGTGCCGACTTAAAAATAATGTTATGGAGTTTTCAGAGACGCTTCTAGACACAGTCTTACCCGAAGTTTCCTAATTCTCTTCACCTTGTTGCCCGTGTGTGAAGAGGGATATTTTGGAAATCGCCTCACTTGTTTGGCAGCCTTTGGCTCGCCAGCATCTTAATTGCATTTGAAGGACAATGTCAGAGTTCTCTGGAAAGAGGGAGGAATGACAGGAAAAAAGCCACACTTTATTTCTGTTTTGTGTAGCTTTGGCGCAACCTCATTTGTGGAGTTTGGTGTTGTTTGTGCGACTGGCTTCAGAGTATGTTTAACACTGTGAACTTGACACTGAGCTGCAACTTATGCCAGAACTTTATCTCATTATTTCCTTTTCAGGAAATCATTGTTGAGATGTTTCAGAAAACCAGTGTGTGAGTGGGCCTGGAGAGGTGTTGTGTTGAGAGCTGGAAGAGATTGTACCCTGCCTTGTCCTAGTATGGGGTTTCCTTCTCAGGAGGCTGTGGGAACGCACTGCCAGTTGGCACGTGTGCTGCTCTTGCTAAATGACACACTTGGCATTTACCTAATATTTTGAGCCAGATGCTCAGTAGTTATTGTTCACCTACTATGTGCAGCACTGTTTAGGCGCTGGAGATCCAGGAGAGAGCACATACTTCCATTTCCGGATGGAGCAGCATGCATACCCAGAAATGTGTAAACAAATGAAAAACAAATGGTAACTTCAGGTGTTGCCAAGTTCTAAACAGAAGTTGTTAAACCTAGAGTGACTGCTTTAGGTGGATATTGCTTTCTTTAGCTAGGACAGTGGTTTTCAACTTTCCTAATGCCGCAACCCTTTAATACAGTTTCTGTGGGTCGAGACCCACAGGTTGAGAACTGCTGAGCTAGGAGGTCAGGGAGGTTCACTCCAAGGAAGTGAAGTGTGAGTAGAGGATGCTTGTCTGGTTTTTGAATACTTGGATTGTAGCCTTTTTCTTTTTTTGAGGGTAGGTTTCCGACTTCTTAGCCTTATTGATCATATGGAGAGTGCAGGTGAAATGCTGGGTAGGTAGATTTTTAAAGAGATCCTTAAGGCTTGAGACAACTGCCTTCCCTCTTAAAAGAATAACATTTAAATAGAAATATCATCTTTGCTTGCCTCGTTCTCTGGGACATAAATATTTAAATAGAGAATTTCTAGTAGATAATTCTTATTGATGAAATTATTCCTGAGGTCAAAAAATGTCCAGTGTTGCATGTTGATGGAAGCTTTTGATTGTAAGGTATAACTTTTAAAAAAGGTGTGGACTGTTTTTTGGCTTTTTTGAATTTCTTAGCAAAACTTTACTTACTAGGAAATCCTGGAGAGTGGACTGAAGAGCTGTTGTCTATATTCATGCACACAATTCTACATCTTTTCATTTGTTACACAGTATTATTAAGAGAATGTCACAGTATTTTAGGGGACAGATTAGTGAATTTAATTCTTTCATGGTTCCCCCAGTTAATGTATCATAGACACAACTGTCTGCTGTGCTGAAGATAGAGAAAATGACTGGTGTCACCATTGAGTCTTTTTTGCTTTTAATTTCAAGCTTGGCTAACATTTTAAAGTTGGAGAATGTGCTCAGGGTTTGCAAGACAGGCAGTTCGGGATAGTGTGAAGGGCATGGATTTCATAGTCAGGGACCTGGATTTAAATCCTGTTCTCTTGTCTACTGGCTTTGTGATTTTGGTTTAGTTCTTCCCCTTCTCAATTCCGTAAGTATGGTTAGATTAGGTAGTCTTCAGGGCCTTTCCTGTCTGTGCTCTGTAATTCTCATTTTTGCACAAATGTGGAAAATGTATAGTTGAGTACCATATTCTGTGTACCCTGATATTTGTTGATATTGGGTATTCTTAAAGTGATGATGCTAAAATTCAAACAAGAACACATCTTGTGTCTTTATAGCAGAATAGACCAATGCTATGATTGCTTTTATGGAGTAGACAAGCACAAAACAGACTTTTAATGTTGTAATGATAGATATATATATATACACACACATAGATCTGACCTGTTGGTGCTGGGTTGTACCCAAGGGTATTCAAATAGAGTGTAAAACTTTCTCTTCCAAGTTTAAGAGAGGTTATTGCGTTTCTTACTTTGAAATTAAGGTAATTAGGCTGAAATGACCAGCATGAGGAGGAGATAATGTGATGGTGGAATTTAGGACTGTTCAGGGCCTAAGAATTCCTGGTATGTGTCCAGCCCTTGTATTTTTTTGGCTGGGGCCGGGTTTGAACCCACCACCTCTGGAATATGGGGTCAGCGCCCTACTCCTTGAGCCACAGGTACTGCCCCAGCCCTTTTATTATTTCCATGAAGAAACTGAGGCTCCAGGAAGAAAGGACATGGATTCAAGTTAATAGCTGACCTGGGCATTGTGTCCGCATATTAGGGCAGATTCCAGCTGTGCTGTCAGTTACTAGAAGCACCTTTTCTGGATTCAGTTTGAAATGTGTGGCTCTTTTGCTGACTAAGGGCCGATTATGATCTTTAGAAAGATGTTGCTTACTCTGTTTCTCTCACCTCAAAGTTGAATGGGTAATGCATTTTTCAAGGCTTTATTTTTCATTTGCTGCTTTGCAAAATCTATTTTGATTGGCTCTCTCAAGCAGGGGTCTCAACCTAGGGGCCATTGGGAAGTTCTTGAACTTGGATATGGAAATACCCCTTTATTTTCTTGATACTCAAACTGAAATTTAACTTTCCACTCAGTTATGTGTGCAGCCAACACAAAGACCTGTCAGCTAGATTTGCCGTTTAATGTATTAATTCAAGAGTATGTGTCTGATCCCATTAAGACTGTTTTGATAATTGAGTATAACGGATTGCATTTGTAATCCTTTGTATTTCATTTTATCTGTTCAAAAACATTTGTCTGAGAAGGGGTCAGTAGGCTTCACCAGACTGCCAAAGGGATTTTTGGCCTCAAAACCAGGTTAAGAATCTCTACAAATGCGGGCTGATCAATAAGGCTAAGAAATGAAGTATGTTAGTGGAAACTTATTAAGCTCTATAAATGAGGGTTGGTACCAGCCTTTTTCCATTTGGATGGTGCAGCATTCTGTTGGGGAAGACAAAGGTGGATCCCAGTTTCTCCATTATTTCTTTCGTTGCTGTATTTGTAACCTTGGTACTTTGCCTTGACTGCCCCTCCCTTTGGTAAGTAGTAATAAGAAACCTTCAAATACACTGACACTTTGATTTTTCCCTTTTTTCTTTTTAATTGAGACAGGGTCTCTCTTTGTTACCCTTGGTAGAGTACCATGGTATGATAGCTCACAGCAACCTCAAACTCTTGGGCTCAAGTGATTCTCTTGCCTCAGTCTCCCTAGTAGCTGGGATTACAGGCGCCTGCCAAACGCCTGGTTATTTATTAATTTTTTTGTTTAGCGAGCCAGGGCTGGGTTCGAGCCCACTACCCCCAGAGCATGTGGCCAGCACCCTAAGCACTGAGCTACCAGCGCCCAGCCACTTTTCTTTTTCTTATTCTCTCCTCTATTTTGGATCCAAAGACATCAAACACTGGTATCTTTTGTAGACTAAAAGGTCTTTGAACTCTTTTTTAAATTTCAGAAACTAGTATCTTTGCTGTCGGGACGCGTGTGGATGATCTCAAAAAACTCAGGTCTGCTGTATAGTTGGAGTGTCTAATTCTGGAGGCTGCTAAGGGCTATGATGATGCTGGCTTTGGGTTGCTATATTTTCCTTTACTAACTTTAGCCTTGTTTGGAGTATGTGGCTGTCTGTGTTGTTTTGTGGTTTCTAGTCTGGCTTTCTGAGATTTGTTTCACTCTTAAATACAACCAAGACT